CACTTGTCCCCCCTTCATCCTTCTGGGTCTCTTTGTCCCTGTTGATCTTAAACGCTCAGATCATGCACTTGTCTCCATCTAGACAACTCTCATAGGACTAAGCGGGCAGTTCTCTCTGTCTCAGGATATCTGCTGAAAAAATCCGCCCACACCGCTTGTCGGTGCAGGGCGTGCTATTGGGGCTCTTGCCAACAGGGACAAAGAGACCCAGAAGGGTGAAAGGGGGATGGATCGAAAATGTAGCTGCTTTGGTCCCTTTCCGATAGAGCTCGGAAGTCCCCTGGGAATTTCAACACAATCACCTTAGGTCTGTGTGTGGTTGTTTGAACCATTGAGACAATCATCAACTTGAAGCGTGAGGCCATAGTTCCCTAGTTGGACTGAAGCGTCGACTGCAGCCAGCTCAGCCTGCTTGGTTTTTGGCATCAGCACATGGGTGTTAAATCTCGGATCATTTGGGCCATCAGTCACCGTGTATTTGTGGCAATATCTCCAAGAACATCCATACTCCATTCGTTCCAACAAATCGATAGTTCCCGTTCAGAAGCGCATTGGGCCAGGTCAAGGCAAAACCTTTGAGAAGCTGGAGGTTTTCGGTCTCTTTCCCAGTGTGGCGTTTCCCAGTGTGCGTGTTGCAACACTTTATAGACTATTCTAGAGAAAAAAATTGTTTTGGTTTCTTTTACCTGTTTTTGATATATTCTCTTGTAAAAAAATACTATATATACTTCAGACATTTGTTTTGAGATGCCGAGATCCTTCGGACATGGATCTGCTGCAGGCTCCGGCCAAACCCTACGGAAAATTGATTGAGGGAGCTGTTGATTTGTTGTGGTCGTGACAAATTTGCATACATTCAAATATACAAATCATCGTAAATACGACCAGGCATGCAGTCAACGCTTGATCAAAGAACAAACGCAAAATCGCAAGCAAAAATAAAGACGAATGTAAACATCGGACACACGCTGCTAGTTTTACCATGTTCCACCAGGCCAACATACATCGCCTGGTCGTACCAGTGGCCGAGCTTGGAAGAGCTTGAACGGCATACCAGTCACGTTGTGAGTAGCTGAAATAGGTTGTGGCCTCACCTGTATGCTTGACCACTTGTGACTTGGCAACGGTGCAAGCAATGGGTTTGGGTGCTTTAGGCCCCTCCGTGAAAATTGCCATTATTGAGGATAGACCTGAAGCCAGATCGGACAAGGAGTGGAAAAAGACATCAAGCTTAACTGGGGCAGGAAATGCTTGAGAGTTATATTTTCTGAACAATTGGCAGTGAAAACTACCATCGCAAGTATATACAATGCTTTTGAAGACCACGACTGCGACGGATTGATGTTGTAGTCTACCCAAGTCTCTTGAATTAAGCACCAAGTTGGTATGTTCCATTGCAGATGTCTCAATGGCTTTGGCCTTTTTGGTATGCAGGTATGTATTTTGGGTTGTTGTGTGCAGCTCTCTTGACAACACTGCGGTGCTGCACCATCTCCATGAAGACACATTGTATGGTTACAGGCTGGACCATGCTACTTTGTCCACTGGTGTGCATGTCTTCCTGACGCATTTTAGTTGCACCCTGACCGCACGCATGCATGAATTGCATGCCACACGCATGGCATGAACACACACAGCTGGCGCCATTCATCAGCCACGTGCATGGCGGATGAGCTATCGAAATCTCCAAAGGCCCGAAAACGCGCAGGATGTCCAGTCGAGTTTGATGTCCCCGGTTTATACATCAAACAACGTCATGTTGCGAATTGTGTGGTCACATGGTGGTGTCAAAGTCAATGAACTACATGTTTTTTGAGCCGAGAACCACCGGTGAAGCACGGCCTTGCACCTGAGGAGGCTTGGAACGCTGATCCCATTCAAAGGCGTGAGTAGCCCTTTTCTTACTGTTATGCTTTTGTGCTTTGCAAATCGGTTATGAAGCAAAACACACAACCAGGTCAAGCCGGCAACCCAACGTTGGCCAAGTTGAGGGAAACACCGGGCAGCCCCCCACACGAAGAGTTTGACTAGGTCTTCTAGTGAAAGGCAGTCTAAAGTTGACATGAATGATGTGCCCATCGACCAAGCAGAAAAAACACCGTTGATTAAGCAGCAAAACACCAACAGATCAGGCTTGTCCAGTGGAAACCTTCTCCAATTGTCTCTTCCCACCTGTGAACACCGAAGAGAAACACCAAGTGCTCCGCTTCAGACGACGACCAAGTCGCTCTCAAACTTGCTAGGGGAGGCTGCCGAGGCTCAACTGCTGGCCCGGCAACGGCCAGAGAGGCTGGCATGGTTCTAAGTCGTCATTGATTTCACGCAACGCGTTCACAGGCACAATCACAAAGAGCTCCCTAGTAATTGTTACTAATCTACCATTATTTGGTTTCTTTGGGTTCAAGACTTCAGTGGGTTTCCGACCGCTGAGCGGCTGAGCGCTGAGCGCGGGCGTTTGGGACGAGGTTCATTCATGATGCACTCCTACAGCAGCTCCAGCTGGCAGCAGCTGCTGGAAGGTGTGTTCCACATCGATACGATATCAAAAAGTTCCTTGATCAGTTCGATGATTCCTAGTTTGATGATCCTGGACATGTGGAATCAGAGAATAATGAATTGTCTTCCAGATGCCACAATCCATGAAAGAAAGCAAATATGTCCTTCGGAAAGGCTTGGCGTCAATCATCACCTGATTTGTTTGCCCGCAATCGTTTCTGCACAGGTCGTAGATTGATAGTTCAGACATCGCAAAAGTTGGTGTCTGAATATGATTGAATATGTCATGGAGGTTGGTTGTGATGTAGGGCGTAGGAACCAAAATGGACGGCAACAAAAAGATTGTAAATGTGCATGTAAGCAGACAGGCACATGGAAAGGCTACATCCAACCTGAGCACCTTAAGTAAATTGGAGCACTTTTTGAATCATAATCACTCGCCTCGCTGAACTTTCCTTGGTTTTTCTTGGTTGACCTTTGTGTCAACCCTGGGTACTCATGGAGTGCAATGGGTTTCCATGCCGAGAGAGCATGGAAGTTCTCAAAGTGGAACCAGAGCACCTAGCCGCCTTCACTCTTCCTGAAGAGGCGCCCCGAGAGAACACAAAGAATATTCGGATTTCAACGTAACAAGAAGCTACTAGTGGCTAAGGGCATTACTACTTACTAGTCTAGTAACAAGAAGCTATTAGTAGCTATGTGCCACTAAAAGCGTGAAGTGATCCTTTTGGGCCAACAAGTCCCGAGGTGTCCTTTTGTGCCCTTTCAGATGATTCTTCGCGGAGTCCACTCATGTATCGATTCTAATTTTCGAGCTCTCACACCACCAGAGGTCAGGATGGAACATATTGTGACAGGGGACCAGCAGAGTCGTAATGGCCTCCAATCTAATTGAGGTTCCGTACAACACCAGGGGCGAAGTTTGGGCATATGTTCCCTCACAGACTGTTGGCGTAGTTGTTCACAGATCCGCCACTTCAATTCTTTACAAGTGGGTGATACTCAGAGAGTGGGTAAGAGGTTCAAGGGTTATTTATAGACCCTGCTGAAATTGCCTCTCACAATTCAATTTGGGACCTTGGCTTGAGCTACTCAACCTTCTCTAACTGAATTGCCAAGTCAACCTCTAACGAACACATGCAGGCATTGGAGTTTCAGCCAGAGGGTGAAGATGTTCAGAGCTCAGCTCCGCTACACAGAAATATGAGAAGAAAAAAACACCATATTGAAGAACAAAAACAAAAACCGCTACTAGGAACAAGTGCCTCGCTAGTAGTAACAAGTGCCTTACTAGTAACAAGAAGTAAATTAGAATTTTATTAAATTAGAAGGCCTAACAACTTGAACGACCCGACCTGTGGACCGGTGACCGGTTTACCTGTGCAAGTCTGCAGGTCTACCTGCAGCTTAGCTCCGGCATTTTGGAACGTCGACTGCATAGCAACGTGGCGTTCTCGGCAGAGGAGGAGAAAGCCCTGCAGAATCTCAGAACAGAGGCCGGCGACGTTTGACCGTGATCACAGGAGAGCAGGTAGACCCCCTCGACCCACTGACACATGCCACAAGAAATGGCTCCTGTTTTGCAACTCGAGGTATTTGAGAAGAAACATCACCGGTACGTGGTGGTTTTATTAAGTCCTTTAAAGCACAAATCCAGACATAAAGAATGTTCAGGTCATTTTGATATCGGTTTCAGATTCTGCTTCAGGCTCGCCGCACCGGGAAGCGCTTCAGAATTGGCCTCAGCGATGTCTCGGTGTTGTGTTTGCCTTTGTCCAACGGCTCATAGAACAGAAGGAAAAAACGAAAAGAAATGAAAGGACAAAGAGCAGTGAAATATGGAGAATGCCATATATGTTCATGTGTTGCTTTCATTCGACTGTAGCGTTTGTTTTTGTCCTGCTGTGAGGCCCAGAGATTTGCCAAGAAGCTACGCGATATTTGAGCGCTACTCGTGGAAACCATCAGAAAGCTTTGAGCTTGATGGAGGCACTTTGGGCAGTTTCTCAATGCTTCAATGTTTGGCCGAGCGAGCGTAGCGGCGTAGCGTGGTTGTCGTTTCCCAATTGTTTCCTGATTGTGCTTCTAGCTCAATTTTTGCAAGAGAAATCTGTTGGTGTGCAGTGTTTAAAGGACGGTTGGATGGCATCAAATTGTTGAACAATTGGCTGGCATATTGGAGTCTGGTTTCACTGTTCAAAACAAGATCTTCATGTTTGTGCTATCTAATCAGCGGAGAGAGTTCAGGACAGCAACGCAATGCAACACATTTGAGGCCACTGAGAACTGGCGGAGATCATATTTTAAGGCTCCGCTGCGTTTGTCATGTCGTTTTAGTGGGACAGGGGTGATTTTTTGGGAATGAGGCTCGTCGTATGTGTTCGCTTGGAGGTTGAAACTTCCCAACAAGGTCTCGTGCATCCAAATACATAGCACAAGGATGCACAAGGGAGGAGGAAGATGTTGGTCCACTTAGTGTGAAAGTGTTTGGTTCCGGTGCTCCCCGCGCGAAGGCATGTGAATCCAAATCGTGTAGGTCCCCCACAATTAGGCAAGTTGCCCAGGGCAAAAAGATCCTTCGTTGTAATTGGTTCCTTCTTGCAGTGATGAGTATCCGTTGTTGTGGAGACGTTGTTCATTTCTTCTTGAATATGTCTTTTCTTATCCCTGGAGGGAAGTCTGGAAAGCGTGTCGCGAAGGTACCCTTTCACCAATAAATGTCTCACGAAGGCTTGCGAAGGCAGATGTGAAGGTATGCTTGCAGTGTATCGGCCCCGTAGGTGTTCATCTTGGAATGGGGCATGTTGACGGCTCTGCTTTTGCTTTCTGTCACGCTGTCCCTCGGGCCAGGATGGGCCTTTGTGTTCGGCAGATTTGGCAGAAGACATGTCGCCATTGGGCAGCATTGTATGTGGCAGCTGAAAGAATACTGGATTTTCTTTTCAGAGCCACCCCTGTTCATTTGAGGGTTCTGAAATGCTGGTCTTTTTTCGTTGTACATTTTTGTACCTTTCATTGCAACATATTGCAACCAACTCATCGTACCCAAGGCATGGCTTTGCGTACTTCGTGGGCCGCGATCGTGCGCTTCGGCCAGCCCTGGTGTTCCGTGCCTTGGATCCCAACGGCATGGAAGTGTTTGAAAGGGTTGTTGGCTACCAGAATGGAGTAACATAGAGTAACGACATTTGAATCAAACAGTTTGCATCCAGGCAGAGATGCCAGAAATAGACAATTAATTAGTTAGATTCATAGGATGCCAATGCCAAGGGCTGTTTGGTTGATGCCGCCACGTTCGCGCAGCACAAGTTCTGCCTATGAGGTGCGTCACGAGTGCCAGAGCAGTGGCGCAAAGACTACGATGTGGATCGGCTGCTGCGGGTCTTAATTTTTTGCATGGAGGCGAAGATGGATCGAGTAGAAACAAGTGCATCGCTACTAGTAACAAGTGCATCGCTACTAGGAGCAAGAGGACGCTACTAGGAATATCTGCTTTTGGGGCAGATGGACTCAGAGAGCGTGAATTTGTGTGTGTGTGACATGTTCTCTGTCTCTCAAGCTGCAATGTCCTTCAAGAGCATCCGACGCATCCCTTTATACGGTGCTTGATATGTTTGTTTCAGCCAAGAAAATCTGAGCCTTGAAGATCTTAATGCGGTTTGGCTGTTGAGGATATTCATGGTACGTGAGTCCGTGCTAGAAGGGGGACTCCCCCAAACCTTACTTGTTGGATGAACATAGACAAACATCGTCGTCGTCATCGTCATCATCATATTGTTTGAGGTTTGTTCTCAATCTTGAGACGGCGCAACTTGAACTCATTTCTCCTGACTCTGGCAGGTGATGCTGCGCTTCATGCTGGTACCAGGTAAAGTTGAAACCTCCTGCTTGATTGTCGACTTGCAAGACATCTCCACCAAGGAGAGATTTTGCCGGGCGCAAGAGAAGTCAAAGTAGGGCCAGTGGCGGGGCAAAGCCTGTGAGCGTAGGTCATGTCGTTGAATCTACAGACGGGAAATCCGCCCTACAGAGGACCAAACCGTTTGCCAGGATATCCCCGGAGAAAAAAGAAAAGGTCCTACTAGTAGTAGCGTCCTTGCTCCTAGTAGTAAGGCCAGGAGCCCCGTTCGTAGCGTCCTTGCTCCGTTCGTAGCGATGCCCTTTGATTCCTAGCGTCCGCCAGGATATCCCCGTGTCCTTGCTCCGGGAGATCCATCAACTCTTCACTGCACACTATCCATGCCGAGGCCCAACACAGTCTCGCGGGCGATTGGTTTCCGCGATTGTCTTTCTCCAGGTTTCCGCTTCTACGTGTGCAACGTGCCACGCATGCTGATGGCCATCTCACACGTGGCAAAGAACCTTCTGACAGAGAGGCCTGCTAACAGCTGTTTGGCAACGGTCAAGGTCTAGTTACTAGTTCATACTAGTTCCCTGTTTTCGTTTGAATATGTTGAATGGTTGATTGATCACAAACTGGAGGTGTCGGACATGTTGACACTGAATACTCAACTTGAATCGTTGGCAACCTCGTTTGGCTGCTTCTCCAATTGAATTCACCTCCGAGATGCAAAAGCACTCCGGCCAGGCAAAAGTTGAAGGTCCGAGTTTTGAGCGATGTATGTGAGCTCTTGGAGGACTTCGCACCACATCAGCTGGAGCTGGACTTAGGCCGACCAAGTGTGTCGGCCATGTTGTGGGCTCAGGTCTTGGTGGTGAAGAAGACACCTGGAATCAGTTGCATGCCTCAATTACTAATAAGAGCGATGGCCTGCAACCTAATAGCCAAAAATATGCCTCAATTCATTCAATGAGATTCATGTCCTCGGTTGAAAAGAAGAATGGCATAGAGAATGGCTAATTATGATCATGTTGAACGGGTCGTCCCGAACCAAATGGAGAACATCTATCTACTAAAGAGAAAAGGAAGCACCGAGCACTCTATGGCCCTATCAACCTACTCAGTTTATCCCGTGGGCAAGGAGGTGGCAACGTCAAGGAGGGTCACTTTGGGGCACATTTCAATATAGTTGCTATCCCGCACCTGAATGTAAACAGAAAGCCTGCCAGTCACATTTGATTTATTGATCCTTCCGCAAATGTTAAAGATGTGAAATTGTGTCAACATGTTGAATATATATATATATATGGGCGCCCGACGTTTTGGGGGCCCCTTGTGAGGAGCAGCAGCAAGACAGATTCTTTTTTCTCAGGGTTCTTGCCAGACAATGCTCAGATGGCTTCCTTGATCGCGTTGATGGTCTGCACAATGAGGCGGCTGCAGTCATGACAGTCAGAATGCACCTCCTGCAGGTTCCTCTGCAGGCTCTCGAGGTTGGTCAGGGCCATATTCAACAAGCGCCGCCGCTTGGCGCCCTTGGTGGAGGAACTTGAGGACGAAGAATCTGAGGCAGCACTTTCATCAGACCCGGTCTTCTCGTCATCAGCAGTAGCATCAGCTTCAAAGTCTGCCTGCGCCGCTTGGCCTTCTGCTTCGGTGGATGCCTGGCCCATGTTGTCTTGGAGAGAGTCTGCCGCTGATGCCTTGGGATGCTCATGCTTTTCATCTTCAAGAGGGATTGCTGCTGATGCCTGGGGATGCTCCTGCTTTTCATCTTCAATGGCAAGGGCTGGTGAACTGCTACGCCCCTTGATATTTTGGAGAAGCCATTCTTCTAGAGCAGCCTGAGCAAGGCCATTCCAACCACCCAGCCGTCCAGTCACCAAGCCATGGGTTCTCTGAAGGTAATTGATGTGGCTCTGCAACTGCTTGACTGTGCGCAGCCGTTTGCTTTCACACGCCACAACTTTGCGTGAAGCAATGTCCGAATGCAGCTTGTGGACGTCTGGAACTGGCACCACTGCTTTCTCAGCAGAGTCAGGTTGCTGAGGCTGACTCTGCGCAGTGAAGCTGGCCTCCGAGGCAAGGTGGATGTCGAGGCTCAGGCGGCCAGCCGCAAGTGTAGAGGCAGCGCCGATGATCAACTGCGCTTTTGGAGCCATGGCCAACCTACGAGGTGAGCCAGCAGAATCTAGCAAAAACACTGAAAGCGCCTGCAACAGGTGAGAAACACACAATCCAATTTGTTTGGCAGTAGACCCTTCAACCGCTACATGGAAACACTTGCTAATCTACACAGGAATACTCAAAACGACATGGTTAAGTTTCCTTGGTTTGCACATATTAATGAAAGAAACATGCACAACACATCTCAGACAAAGCAAAGCACAGACGGAGCAAGCATTTTTTTACACCAGACATTTCTTGCGATGATGGTGAGATAGTCTTGATGAATGATTGCGCGCAATCATTGCCCAAACAGATGGTACCTACAAAACGGCCTCCCTGAAGTTGTTCACCGGAGATGCCATGGCCAAAGCTTTGAGAACATCTTCGAAGCTGTCTCCAATGTTGACACGGTATGCAGCATATTCGTAGAGATCACCATCCTCCACGGTGTCTTCAGGAGTCTCAGATGATGAGGCAGTGGCTTGGAAGCAAAGGCGGCGTTCACGGACCATGTTCTTGAGCCGGGAGAACTCACTTTCGATGTCCTTCGAATGGAAGCCAGTCTTGGAATCACGCCAACCAATGGAATGGTTCACTGGAGGCGCAGATTTGTACCCCAAGGCAGTGATAGCAGCGGAAGAAGCTTTCCATGAGTCGTGCACGAGGAAGGCCTTCTTGGAAACGCATCTCATCAAAGCATCTTTCATAGACGCTGTGCCACGAGACTTCCCATCTTTGGCAAGAGCAGGCTGCGGCAAAAGAGTCAAGCTGAAACGTTTCAGTCCATTGCCACGTGTGTAGCAAGTACGCTTGTTGCCAACCAGCACAGCAGCAAAGAGCCACCTACCATGAGCTCTGGTATCCTTGCTGGTTCCAGCCTTTCCCTTGTTGAAGACAGACTTCATGACAGAAGCAGGTTTCTTGAAGACGGCAACAGGTTTTGGAAGAGCGGCGGCAGGCTTCCGAAGAGCAGCGGCAGGCTTCCGAAAAGCAGCGGC